TGTTTGACGCTTTGAGTCATTACTTAGCAACCACAAGTCTTGTCCTTACTTTTGTGTTGCTGGAACCACAATATTTGAGAGACTTGGTCTGCATACCATGGCAGACCAAGTAACCTTCAAAGCCTGGCCTAGTAGCCAGCCTCTGTCCATAAGGTTCCACAGTCACCAAAATAGCGCTCACCATCTGGAGTACCAGTGTTCAAACCTTGAGCCTGTGGTGGACATTCCAGATTGAAACCATAACAGCTGGGTCCAGAGGGCCCGTTCAATACGGAGAGTGCCTGCCATGCCAGACAGAGGACCTGAGAGGGATCCCCAGAACCCACGTGAAGAAGTCAGGGGTGGTGGTGTACATTAATCCCGGCGCTGAGGAAACAGAGACAGGCACCTATCCAGAACTTGCTGGTCAGTCAGCACAGCCTACTTAGTGAGCCCTCCAGGCTAATGAGAGACCCTGCCTCAGAAAACACACGGACAACCATGCTTAACCTCTGTCCTACACACACACACACACACACACACACACACACACAAACCGCACACACCACACCACACAGGTACACACCATGCATATGCTACCATATATATATATACACACATGTACATACCACATTCACACACATCACATACACATATCACATACCACACACATAAACCACACACACAGTACCCCCCGCAAACAATACCCCATACACACACCACACACACACACGTACACACCACATACACACCCACCACACACTCTAAATAAAAAAGTAAGTAAATAAATAAATACTAAAAAAAGGGAGAATTTGGACCTGGATAGATGACTCAGTGGTTAAGAACATTTGCTGCTTTTATGGAGGACCCAAGCTCAGTTCCCAGCACTCACATCAGGTGGCTCACAACTGACTGTAACTCCAGGTCTAGGGGGATGAACACCCTCTTCTGGCCTCCTCAGGCATAGCACCCATGAGCACATACCCACACAGACACACATATATACACACAATTAAAAATAAAATAAATCGGGCTGGGCGTGGTGGCGCACGCCTTTAATCTCAGCACTCGGGAGGCAGAGGCAGGCGGATCTCTGTGAGTTCAAGGACAGCCTGGTCTACATAGTGAGTTCCAGGCCAGCTGGGGCTACAGGGAGACCCTGTCTCAAAAAGACAAAAATAAATAAATAAATAAATAAAGTAAAATAAAATAAATTGGGGTTAGAGAGATGGTTCAGCAATTAAGAGCCACAAGCTGCTCTTGCAGAAGACCCAGGTTTGGTTCCCAGCATCTACATAGTGGCTCACAACCATCCATAAATCCAATTCCAAGGGATCCAATGCCTCTTCTGGTCTCCTTGGGCATTGCACATCTAGGTACACTTACATACATGTAGGTAAAACCCTTATACACATAAAATAAGCACCAGAAAATAATTTTGATTAAAAAATAAATAAGGGCTGAAGAGAAGGCTCAGTGGTTAAGAGTACCAACTGCTCTTGCAGAAGACCCAGGTTCGATTCCCAGCACCCACATAGCAGCTAACAACCATTTATAACTCCAGTTCCAGGGGAACTGATATCTTCTTCTGACCTCCATGGGCATTGCATGACACAGGTGCACTTACATGCATGCAGGTAATACACTCATACACATAAAAATAATAAAATATTTTTAAAATTAAAAAATTAAAAATAAATCTTTGGGAGGAAAAGAAGAGACCTGACCAATCTTGCAAACATTGGGTTAAATAGAGATCTACTGTGTTGGTTAGATTGGAACCGAAGGACTTCTTGGAGTCTGGGGGGGTGGGGTGGTGCATGTACAGGAGTGCAGGGGCCAGAGTCAATGCAGGTCTCTTTCTCCTCACCGTATATTTCCCCTCTGCCCAAAACCTACTTATATTTTAGTTATAGTTCTATTTAAGCTCAAGGTGGATCTTCTCACTAAAGTGAACACTACTGCCAACCTGCACGCCTGGAATCTCAGGATGTGGAAAGTCAAGTCAGGAGGTGCTCCACAAGTTCAAGGACAACCAGCTCTACATATCAAGTTTCAGGCCAGCTTCTGTCATACAGTGAAATCCTAGTCTCAAAAAATAAAACAAGAAGCTGAGCGTGGTGGCACATACCTTTAATCCAAGCACTCAGGAGGCAGAGGCATGTTAAAGCCAGCCTGGTCTACACAGGGAGTTCCAAGCCAGCTGTGGGCTACAGGGAGACCCTGTTTCAAAAAGACCAAAAAAAAAAAGAAAAAAAAAACTGGAGAGATGGTTCAGTAGTTAAGAGCACTGGCTGCGCTTGCACAGTTCCCAGCACCCACATGGCAGCTCACAACCATCTGTAACTCCAGTTCCAAGGGATCCAACACCCTCTTCTGGCCTCTAGGGACACATGTGGTATACTTACATACATACAGCCAAAGCATTCATACATATAAAATAAAAATTAAATCTTTAACAGTCTAAATTAATTAAAATGAAGCACTACCACAAATAACAAGATGTGAAGAAATAACCCCACTTATAGCATGATGAAAGAAATGATGCATTTTCACAGTAATCTAACAGCAAGGGGAGAAAGGATCACCTATCAGCTTTTTCTTTATTTTCTTTTTTGAAAATGTTTATTACATTTATTATTTATCTGTGTATGTGTAAGTGGGCGGGTACCACAGCATGCATGTGGAGACCAGAAGACAATTTAGGGGAGTCAGTTCTCTCCTTCTACCACGTGAGTCCTAGGGATCAAACTTGGATCGTCAGGCTTGGCCACATGAGGCTGAGCCATGTTGCCAGCCCTTTTTCAGTATTTTAAGAGTCACAACATGTGACTCAAGCTGGCCTCAAGCTCACCATCCAGCCACCCCAGTGGTAAGGCACTCAGCCATCACACCTGGCCATCCAATTAGTTTATAGATAGCATTTCCTCACCACAAAAATGTTCCCTTTTGACTCAAAAATTCCATACTTGGGAGCTTAAGCCTATGAGAATATGCCAACATACTGAAAAGCTTTTAACACAAAAATGCTCATCCTGGTATCTGGTACTATTAAATAAAACCAGGAGCAAATCCAGAATCCAACAGGATAACAGTTTAGCAAACTAGCACCAGGTCACATGTGATCAGACGCAAGTTCCTGCCATGGTTCACAGCAATGCATCCACCAAGGAAATAAATAAGGGGCTTTAGTCAGCATCTGCTGCTTTGTCGAAGTGGACCACACAAAAACACGAGGGAAAAAGGCAGCTCTAGAGAGAAACAGACTGTGAATGTGAGGCTCTCTCTGGATGGGAAAGGCTGAAGTTAGAATTATTATTTTCCAAAATACTTTATAGTGGAAATATTGATTGTATATATATTTTTTAAATATTTTATTTATTTTTGTTTTATGTGTGTGTATTGCCTGCATGTAGGTAAGTGCACCCGTGTCCTGCAATGCCTGCGGAGGGCAGAAGAGGCTGTTGGATCCCATTGAACTCGAGTTACATGCAGTTGTCAGCTGCCATGTGAGTGCTGGGAATCGAACCCGGTCTTCTGCCAGAATAGTGTTCTTAACCACTGAGCCATCTCTCCAGCCCCTGATTATATATTTTGTTTTTAATTATAGTAAAATGAACATGATATAAAATTGCTATTAACCATTTTAAGTCACAGTCCAGTGTTGTTACATTCGTTCACATTGTTGTGCACTAAAAAAAAAACATCTCCGGGGCTGGAGAGATGGATGGCTCAGCGGTTAAGAGCACTGGCTGCTCTTGCAGGGGACCCGGGTCGATTCCCAGCACCCACATAGCAGCTACGAACCGTCCTTAACTCCAGTTCCAGGGGAATCAGACACCCTCTTTTGATCTCCGCGGTATTGCATGACACGGGTGCACTCATATACATGCAGGCAATACACTCATACACATAAAATAAAAAAAATATTTTTAAATGAAAATAATAAATGAAATTTTAAAAACTCATCTCCAGAATTTTTCATCTTACAAAACTGGAATTCTGTGGCCATTAAACACTTAATATCTTTCTTTTTGTGGCTTTATCATAATTTCCTGTGCCTATCCAGGTTATAGAATATGCCTGAATTTCCTTCCTTTTAAAAGCAGAACAGTATCCTATTGCCTGTATATACCACACCACCCATTCACTCACTGATGGGTTGTTTCTATAGCTAACGTGACTATATTCATACAGTGAACGTGGATATGTAAATACATCTTTCCTATATAAATGTTTTGAGTGGGGGCCAGTGAGATGACTCAGTGGGTGAAGTGCTTGCCACCAAGCCTGACAACTTGAGTTCAAATCCCAAGGCCTGTATGGTGGAAGGGGAGGACTGGCTCCTGAATGTTGTCCTCTGACACTCACATACCTTCCATGGCACATATGGGCATGCACGCAAAGGAATAGGTAGAACATAAAAGAGGACACCTGATGCATCCTTATAGCCTAAGAGTATGCAGAGGCGCATTCACCCACACATTCAACAGGCATTTGCATGCATAAAATAAATAATAAATAAATAAATAAATAAATAAATTTTACTAAAAAGTTCTTCAGCATAGTATTGGAAGAGAAAAATGTAAGTAAATTTTTTATGTGTTTTACATTTGAAAAAAAAATCCTGCGCTGGAGAGTTGGTTCAGGAGTTAAGAGTTCTGGCTGCTCTTGCAGAGGATCCAGGTTCAATTCCCAGCACCCACCTGGTGGCTAACAACTGTCCTTAATTCCAGTTCCAGGGGATCCAGTGCCCTCTTCTGACCTCATTGGGCATTGTACAACATGGACAGGCAGGCAATACACTGATACACATAAAATAAAGTGTTTTAAAATTTTTTTTTAATTCCTAAATTGGCTCCTCTGTTTCCGGTCCCATCTAGTTGTGTCAGACCCTGAACCAGGCTTAACTATGACTCTACTCAGGATGTTGGTACAAACAAGGCATCTAGGTGGGGAAATCATCACTGAGCCAGACCTCTAATACTGACGCATCTTCTGTGCTCTGATTCCTTTTGCAGGACAAATGCCTTAGTTTGGACGTTGCAGCCCGGATCTCCCTCACACTGAGACCTCCTTCGTTGAATCCCCCTGCTTCTGACATTGAACTCTTTGACCTCCTCCTGACACTCTGCTCCAAGAAGACTGAGAAAAACAAAATTCACCCCAGCCATTTCTCTTCATCCTCACTAACAATTTGGTAATGAAGTATTGATTTCCACTTCTCTCCTTATGGACGATATTAGATTTTCATTGATAAACTGCAATGGGCCTGTCTCGTCTCTGAGGCCCCCTTTTTACTGTCACAAGAAAACAAAGTGCCACTGAAGAAAAATAATGACTGGGGACGTTGATGTACTTATTCTGTCGGTTTGCAGCAGGAAAGGGAGGGGGAATATCAGTCTTCATAGTTTAACGTCCAAGTGGGCTACACTTGGAAGCTTACTTTTCATGGTAATGTCAATTTCCTATTTATAACCCCCCTGGGAACGTTTGTCTAAAGGAAATGTTTCTGTTCAGTGTAACAATTACGGTTGCACCTGGATTGCCCAGTCCTGCCCCTGCACCAGGGAGCCATTAGTCATGGCAAAGTGGAAGGCTTACTAAGTTAAACCAGAGTTGGAGCCAAGAAAACCTCCCAACAATGTTCATCTTCTGTGAAAGTTGTTCAAATAGTCAGGCTTACCCATGTTGCTGCCAAAGCCTTTTCCCTGTGTGCTGGGAGAAATGTATGACCTCTGCCTTTATCTCGATTGGTTTACAAGCTTAGTTTCCAGTATGCACCACCATCCGAGGAGACCTACAAACTGGCCCAAGTGGTGAAAGGCGGAATCAGAGAAAGCAAGGAGATGCCAGGGCCAAGGGCGTAGCTGCGGCCTTCCTGTCGTCTCCCTGCGGGGCCTGCTGTCCGCCCGCTCTAAAATGCAACCTCTCAGAACCAACAGAATGCATGAAAATAGGGTGTCCGTTTGAAATGTGTTCCTGCAACTTTTCTCATTAAAACTTTAAGGGCCCAATTTTAATTTGTGGAATATTCCCGTTAATAATGAGATCTAATTAAGACATCCATTAAAAGCCCGTTAAAGTTAATTTAACGTAAAAATTCCAATAGAACTGTATTAGATTTTCTCCATTAAATTAACGTTATGGATTTTTAACGGATGTCTTAATTATACGTTATTATTAACGGGAATACTGTATTACACAGATTAAAATCAGGTCCTAAGTCAACTTGGAAAAGCTAAGAGCATGTTTTCATATTAAAGTCTTGCATACCTAGAGCCCAGTTTGGAAACGCAGGGGTAGATCGGTTTGTTCTAAATGAGTGCTTTCTCTACAGTGGAAAGCAACCTATAATAGATAAATCTATCATTGCATTTAAACAATGAGTCTTCTTATTCTCAAAGGACAGCTACGTCTGGACTGTATTGTAAATTGCTACTCAGCTATAGGTGAAATATTTAAACTAGTCTCTGCACAACACACACTAGGAGTTAGATAACTCTGGAACAAAATACATGGTATTCTTGCTTTAATTACCAAGGTTATCAAAAAAACATGGAGAAAATGAAGCCAAATACACACTTTTCACCATTTATTATAGAGGCTGTCTGTTGGAAATGTCCTGGAAATTTTGACATGATCCCTAAATTCAACATTGGGATTTAAAATAAAATTTGAAGTTTAAAAAAAAAAAAAAGGACAAAAAAAACTTCTTATTTACCTCCTAGGGAAAGTGTTGCCCTTATGCTACATATAATAGCAAATTGCTTTTTTTATGGCATGTATAACCTAGATGGGAAAAAATATGGCGCTTCAGGGAAGGAGGGAAAGAGTAAATGAAGTTCCAGGAATGTCATTCTGAAGTAATGAGGCATGGACGGAAAATATACCCCTCACATCATCGGATTGAGATGGCGGTCGAAATAGCTTCATTGAAGTGTCAGACTCATCCATCAATCAATCACCCACAAGGAAAAATAGCAACAGTACAACGGGCGGCTTTTATGGGATTTACTCATGGGCACAGGGAACAGCAGCTCAACTGTAGTTCTGACATGAAAAGCAAGGTGCTGATATTATTTTTTATGATGGGAGGATCATAAAGTGAATTGAGAACAGCGAGGTCTGTCTTTGCTTAACCTATTCAACCAGAAATGAATGGAATTCAACTGGAAAGGAACGGTCTTCCAGTGGGTTAAGATGGAAGGGTGGACTCAACCGACCGCTGTCCTTCAACGGCAAAATTCTATTAAAGAGGAAAAAAAAAAAGCAACGCATTAGCATGAGGGTTCTTGAGGCTGTTAAAAATTGCCTGCTCCAACCAGGGTTATTAGATAAAGTTACATAATTCAGATCCTCTGCAGCCAACCCAAAGCAAACTCAGAGCCCTGCTCCAGCTGGGGGGAAACAGTACAGTCCTGAACTCCTGGGTATTATCTGACTCCTAGGAAAGAAAATAATAAATCCTCTGCCTCCAATATCATCTATATGGTTTTGTTAGTGCGATTTCTCTTGTGGGGTGAGGTGAAAGGCAAGACACAAAAATATTGATAAATGTGGTCAGACTCCTGAATTGCCACATGACCACTGTGAATGTCACTCCTGAGGACGGCTTTTAATGTTCTTTGTAGAAAACAAGATTGGAGCCAGCACCATGCCATGCACACAGCTCTCAGTGTATTTCTAGACACGAGGCCTGTCTTCATTTGGCAAGTGTGTGAAGCTTCTAGAAACTTCTTCCTGGAGAGAAAAAATGAAATACATGAACTGCAGGAGAATGTTTTAATCTGCTTTCACTTCCTTCCTTCCTCAGATAAGTTGAAATTTCAGAAGTGGGAAGAATGATATGCAAATGTCATGCAAATTGCCTCTGAGTGCCTCCACTACACGGCCGCCCTTTGGGATTAGAGACAATGCCATGTGGCCTTTCCTTCCCTATCCCTCCTTCTAGCTAAGGCCACCAACCAGCTCAAATTTGAAGTGGCCATTAATATATATGTATATATACAAATATTTAAATTTTATATATTTCAGCAAATTTACCAAGTATACAGCAGCTTAAAAGCCAGCACAAGGCACATTGGGAAGTGCAATTTATTCAGCAAATTCACTCAGCCAATCTTATTAGATGCCTACTGTGTGTGCAGCTAGCACTAGATACCACAGAGAACAGTCTTGCACAGCATCCCAGGCCCTCCTGTCTTTGACAGCAGTTATTTCAAGGCAGCTGTTACCTAGACATCCCAGGATGGTGTCCACAGAGGGTCAAAATTCTGTATGTTCACAATAAAGAATTTTTCCTTGTTAAAAAAAAAAAAAAGAGGGAGGAAATAGCCTCAAAATAGGTCAAGGCCTAAAAAAACAGCATATAATCACAGAATAAATTGGATAGACTAGACAGTCCCCACAGAATTTGTTCAGGCCACAAACAGATTTCTCTGAAAACTCACCGCCCCCCCCCACCACGCCAAACTGTGCCTGCTTGGTTGTTTGACTCTTGCATAATTAATGTTGTGGGTAAAAGCCTCTGAACTCAGTTGAAATTCAGAAAACATGAGTACTGGGGAAGCATTTGGGAAACCGGGTAAGGAAAGAGGAAGGGTGTGTGTGTGTTTGTGTGTGTGTGTGTATCCCTGTATACATATGCATGAATTTTGCTGTTAGTTTCTAGGGTCTGGATAATTCATCCGTAAGAATCTATGATTTTCTGAAACTTTTCACAATCAATTCAAAGACACAAGTCTTGCAAGATGGTCACATTCTGCTGAATTACCACCTGCCATTTCGTGGGTTATCTGGCTATATTCAAACCTTTTTTTTTTTTCCAATGGGGTTTTGTTTTTTAAGTTCCTTAATGTTTTCTTTAAAAAAAAAAAAACATAAAATGAGTTTTTTTTTCCCCCATTATCCTCTATTCTCTGTAAGAATACTGGTGTGGAAATGAATGTAAAATAACGATGATAGAGAACTACATTGAACACCATAAAACTTCTTTATTTGTTTTTTCTTTATTTCTTTATTTTACTGTTTGGAAAGCAGTATCTGTGGAATTAGTATGTGTAAAGAAGAAGCAATTTAGTATGTGTAAAGAAGAGAGAGGAGGGGAGAGAGAGAGAGAGAGGGAGGGGGGGAGAGCATTCTAAATGCTATCTATTTTGAACATGCATAAGGCACCAAAAAAAAAAAAAATCAAAACTCAACTTTCAGTTTCTTTTGCTCCCCCACATGAGATGTGAAAATGCTAATTTCATTTTCTCCCTTCCCCTGTGTGGCACTTTCTCAAAATATGTATGAAATAGTTTTAGACAAAGATTGAGCTAGAGGAAGAGATGCGAATTCCCATGCCCTCAGAGAGTGGTGTTTCCACTGCAAGAAACTGCTAAACATTTTGAAACTTGTGAATCATCTTTAGAATTCTTGCAGCACAATTTTACCTCTCCATCCAAAGTAAAAGCCACTTAGATCCTTTGGCTTCCTGTGATAGATTCAGAGGAATACAAAGGTGCACAATTTCCAGACTCTGGTTAATCTTCTTCCAATAGTTATGAACAATGGGCTAGCAGGCATGGGTGTTCCTCCAAAGATTATTCATGCGCAAGGCAGCCCAAAGCTTCAGGGAAAACTGAAAATGTTTTATGGATTAGAAACGGACTGTTTTAAAATGCTAGAACCGGGTGGAACGCTATTTCTGCAACAAGACTCTGTCCGTTTCCTTTGGAAAAATATATTCCAAGTAAAATGGCTCTTCTGAGGAGTGACACCCTGACTTGACACCTTTCAGCATACAAACGACCAGATGATGGCCACATGACTGTCATTAGGGCCTTTTACAATGTGGTCCATTTGAAGGAGACATATCAAATGCTGTCCTTTGTATCAGGTTTATTTGCTTAAAATAGCTTTCAGGAGTTCAAGTAACAACTCTGGTAAAAACCCGAGGAGAAGTTTTTTTTAAAAAATGGTATATTGCTTTAAAAAAAAAAAAACCTAAATCTAAGCATTCCTTTCAACCTCTCCAGGAAATAAATCTCAGTATGCTCGCTGAATTATTTTGAACCTGAAACCTAGTTGACTCTCTGTCCCCAGGCGATGGCTAATATTTACAGAATGAACAATCATCCAATTATGTCTCAAATATGGAGCTGTGGCTAGTCATATTTTCGCTTTCTAAATGACTGCTAGAACATTCAGGGATTATAAATGTGTATGCAGATTTTAAAGGACACAAAGTTCTGCCCGTCTACAAAGAAAAAAGTAAAAACTGTGCCCGTTCGCCTGGAGATAAAGATTACAGGAACACCGCGATCTTACTGTGTAGTATTTTGCCTTTATAACACGTCAGATGTGATGCGAGTCAAAAACACCAGCATACAGAAAATTTGGTTCAGGGCTCTTCCATGTCATGCTATCCCAGGTTATAGCACTTTTGGGTCTCTGACACTGCCATCCTGTGCTCCGTTTGGATCTGATTCCTAATAGGTAGATAGTCCTGGGTTGAACCATGAACATCCAAACTCCTTTAATATCAGAGCTGATCTTTGATGGCCAACCATGACTGATTTTACAGACTCTTTGTGACATGTTAGGAAATGTGGTGTGGAGCAACGTGGTCTATCTGCCCTTCGCATTAATTCCAGATTTTGAGTTTGTTTCTTTTAGAAAAGGCAGCAGAGGAAGGGTGGGTCGGAGTGAGTTTCAACAACCACAATCGTCTTTGCTCTGGAAGGAAATGTTTATTTGCCGATGGAAAAAGGCAATGTTTTTATAAGAAAGCAGAACAGCTGTTTTCAAAGAGAAGGGACTGCAGCCGTACCTGTACAATGTTCCTGCTTGAGGCCACTATTCTAACGCCCGCATGTTGTATATGTTACGTCTGCCTGTGTACTAGGAAGAGGGGGAAAACCAGGCTGTTCTATGTACAATGCAGCTTGGATGGCTGGGAATGCAAGCCTTCCACACATTTTTATACTGTAGATATGTGTATATACTAACTATATCGCCATGTATGAACACAGATTTCGTTTATCTGCTTGTTTTTGTTTCCTACGAAACTGGCCCACAATGGGGGATTCTTTTGTATAGGAAAAAAAAATATGCTTGTAATTTTTTTCCCCTGATCATTCTCTTACGATAGCTTATGAAAGAATTAGACCTGAGTTTACAAAGCAATTCTAAGAACCGTGTCTATCCCGCCTGCATGAGCCCCCTTTGGTCACCGGATCTAAGGAAGAACTGATGTCTTGATTCAGAATTTTCCTGTAAAGGCATGCGTTACCCACAGGAAAACTACAAACTCATCCATGTAGAATTATCCTCTTTGTATTTTATCGAATAGTGCCTGAAAAAAAAAAGATTTTTTTAATGTCTTCTTAGAGGAAGAATTCATAATTGTCAAAATTTGAAACATTAGCTTAATTTTGTTTTTATGACCTCGAGATTCTTCCCCTTATTTATTCGGTGGCTGTTGTAATGGGGCCCCAGGCCATTCCTGACATTGGTGTGTTCTTCTTCAGCACTAAGGATGTTTTTAAAATTACAGAGATTATTGAGCCAACAGGCTGTTTTAATCAAAACCATGTTTCACTTGTTTTGGAAGATTATAAATTGTCCTTGCAACGGAGAAAAAAAAAAAAAACAACTTTTCCACTAGGAACAGTATACCACCCTGTGGCCAAACGGATTCATCACAGATAG